ACTGAGGGACCGATTCGTGTGCGGGCTAAGGCATCGAGAGCTACAACAGAGGCTTTTTGCCAAAGAGGACTTGTCCTTCCAAGATGCCTTGAGAGAGGTCACCGCAGAAGAAGCAGCAGGCGGCGCCATCAAGAACATGCGGCCGATCAGGAACAGTCCAGATGTTGCATCCGTGCACCAAGAAGAAGTCCAAGGGAACTCCGAGGAGGATCCGGACGAGGAAGTCGACCGTCTCCACCCCACGAAGGAAGGGAACCAGAAAGGAAGCTCTTCAGCTCCCCTCAAGTGCATCGGCTGTGGAGGTCGCCACAGGAGAACCGACTGCAAGTTCTGCTCCGCTACCTGCCGGGCGTGCGGAAAACAAGGACATATTGCAGCTGTGTGTCTGGGCCGACGAAAGGTACAACCTCAGGAAGAATTGCGCCTGAAAGGTACCAGAGTCCCCAGCCAGAACAGGGTGGGGTTTTGCGCTTCATGAAGGAGCATCTTTAGGACAGGCACACACAAGCTCATTAAGAAAAAGCTGTCACTCAAGGTGAAGCTACAAGGGGTTCCATTAACTATGGAACTAGACACGGGGTCTGCACTTTCAATCATCTCCTTACATACATTTAGGAAGATTTGTTCCGGCAGTGGAACTCAGGCCAAGTTAAGGCCTTCTGACATTGTGCTAACAGACTTTCAGAATTCGAGAGTATGTGTTAAGGGGGAGGCCACTCTTAATGTACAGTATAAGAATTTTGAAGGTCCACTAGACCTATTAGTAGTAGGGGGTGAACGAACGAGTCTCATAGGACTCGACTGGTTTGAGGCCTTGGGGATACACGTCACGGGGCTCAATAGCTTACAAACACTCGACCTGCAGGAAGTCTGCAAAGAATTCGCAGATGTTTTCAGCCCCCAGCTGGGCACATTCAAAGGACCCCCTGTGTCCTTAAAACTAGACCTCATTGTCACTCCCATTAGAATTAAAGCAAGAAGGGTCCCTTTTGCTTTAAAGAGTAAAATTGACACTGAGTTGGACTAACTGAACCAACAGGGAATTCTAGAACCTGTTGATTCTAGTCCTTGGGAGACCCCCATTGACACGCCTCTAAAGGCAAATGGGGACATTCGCATTTGTGCTGATTACAAATGCACACTGAATAAGGCATTGCAGCAACATGCCTATCCTGTTCCTGTGGTCAGTCGTATCCTGGCCTCTCTCAAGGGGGGGGCGTGTTTTTGCAAAGCTTGACCTAGCTCAAGCGTATCAACAGCTGCCTGTTGATGATGATGCTGCTATAGCTCAGACTATTGTGACCCACAGAGGGGCTTTCAAGGTAAAGAGACTTCAATTTGGGGTAAATGTCGCTCCTGGGATTTTCCAAAGCGTAATGGAAAACACACTACGGGGTATACCGGGGGTTTGCCCCTACTTTGATGATGTCTTAATTGCAGGAGACTCCACACACATTCTAGCTGAAAGGCTAAGGGCTGTTCTGTTAAGATACAGGAAAACAGGCCTCAAGCTTAAGAAGGACAAATGCAAAATAGGAGTGCCTTCTACTGAATTTTTGGGGTTCAAAATTGATGCTGCTGGGATTCACCCTGCTGAATCCAAACTAACTGCCATTTTAGAAGCACCTTGGCCAAAGTCTAAGGCCGAACTTCAGGCCTTTCTGGGCCTCCTGAATTTTTACAATGCTTTTCTTCCACATAACGCTAGTGTAGCTGAGCCTCTTCATAGGCTATTAGATAAACAAGCAGTGTGGCACTGGTCACAAACACATGAGGCTAGTTTCAATGAGGTCAAGGCCTTGCTCACTTCTAACAGTGTACTTGCACACTTCAATGAGTCCCTTCCTGTGTGCATCACTTGTGATGCTTCCCCTTATGGGGTTGGAGCTGTCCTGAGCCACCTCAGGTCTGATGGAACTCAGGTTCCTGTTGCATATTACTCCAGAACATTGTCTTCTGCTGAGCGCAACTACGCTCAGATAGACAGAGAGGCTTTAGCTGTTGTTGCTGGGATTAAAAAATTCCATGATTTTTTATATGGCAGGCATTTCACTGTCTTCACTGACCATAAGCCTCTGCTGGGACTGTTTACCACACGTAAGCAAACTCCCCAAATCATTTCACCTAGAATGCTCAGGTGGTCTATTTTTTTGTCTGCATATGATTTTTCCTTACTTCACAAACCTGGGAAAGAAATGGGCCATGCTGATGGCCTCAGTAGATTGCCCCTGCCAGTAATAGAAGCTGACCCCACGCCAGCTGTTAACATTCTATCCATCCAAGCCTTGCCCGAGTCCCCTCTGAACGCCAGGGATGTAGCTGCTGAATCGGGCACAGATCACACACTTTCACGTGTCCTTTCTTGGGTTTTGTCTGGATGGCCTGAGCACTGTCCTAGTCCTGAGTTTCAGAGTTTCTGGTCTAAAAGGAACGAGTTCTCCACCTCTCAGGGTTGTTTGCTTTGGGGAAGCAGAGTTGTCATCCCCACCTCAATGAGGACTAGGGTCTTAGGGTCCCTCCACGAGGGTCATCCTGGCATTGTTCGAATGAAGGCCCGTGCGCACAGCCACTTGTGGTGGCCTGGCCTAGACAAGGACATTGAGGCTAAGGTGCATGCATGCCACCTGTGCCAATGCTCTCGCCCAGAGATGCCCCAAGCTCCTGTGCATAGATGGGAGGAATCACAGTTCCCATGGTCTAGGGTGCACATTGACTACGCTGGGCCCTTTCAGGGCCAATTCTTCTTGGTCCTCGTTGATAGCCATTCAAAATGGCTTGAGGTTGTACCTGTCTCATCCACCACCACTGCAAAGACTATTCAGGTACTGAGGGGGATTTTTGCTGCACACGGCTCCCAGATGTCATTGTGTCTGACAACGGCCCTCAATTTACTTCCTCCGAATTCCAAGCTTTCTTGCAGGCCAACATGATTCGTCATGCCACTTCTGCACCCTTCCACCTGTCCACCAATGGTATGGCTGAACGCATGGTTCGCATCACCAAGGACGCCTTGAAGAAACTCACCTATGGGGACTGGCATCACAGGTTGGCTGACTTTCTCCTTTCTTATCGCACCACACTGTCCACTTCTACAGGAAGAAGTCCAGCTGAACTTCGCTGGGGGCGCAAACTGACTACGAAGCTTGACCGGTTGCATCCGGACAGACTGCCTCTATCTACCTCACACCCTAGGGCACCTAGACAACTAATTGTGGGTGCCCCGGTTTGGACTCATAATTACGGGCCTGGTCATACATGGGTCCCCGCTTCTATTTCCAGGGTGACAGGTCCTCTGTCCTATGAGGTCTCCCTGGACAACGGTCGTGTCCTGCGTCAGCACATTGACCAACTCCGCCCTAGGCAGGACCTTCCAGCTGAGACTCCTGGGTCTTTTCAAGGGAGGAGGGGGACCCCTTTGAGCAAAGGGAAGGGCATGAGCTGCTGCCCATCACCAATGATGGAGCCACAAACGGCTCATTCCAAGATTCTGCGAGTGCTCCAAACGGGAATTCTAGGAGCTTATCCAACTACCAGGCATTCACGCCTACTCCAGCCAGGGAGTCACCCCGGGGGCACAATCACTATTCACCTGCACCACACAGTACTCCAGTCAGGGAGGATACCCGGGAGCATCCCAATAAATCATACCCCGCAAGAGAGCTGGCACATAATCCCCAGAGTTGGCCTGACCTTACCCCTAGTCCTACAAGGGGGCAAACATACAGGGAGGTGGTCGAGGAACCAAGTCCCAACTACAACACCTCTAGCCCAAATCAGGGAGTAACTGAGTTTTGGGAAGGCACATAAACCCACACAAGCCAGGACACAGAACGGGATTCAGGGGATAGACAGCCTCCTGACAGGTCTTGGACGGACCTAGGAGGTTTTACAGAGACGCCCAACAGTGGCTATCATTTAGAAGGGCCAGAGAGCCTACAGCTAGGCGGGTCAACCAGGTCACAAAGTGACAGAAGCCCTGGCCTGACGAGCCCGGTGGGCAAGCAAGCAAGCCAGGCATTGGGGCACAGTCCTTGGAAGGCACCAAGGCATGATAAGGGGAACAGGCACACATCACCCCTCAGTCAGGGGACACCTGCCAGAAACCCAGAGCTTAGGAGGTCACAGAGAGCAAGGAAATCTCCTAAGTACTTAGAGGATTACATAACATTGCTGTCTAAACAGAGCCAGTAGAAGGGTAGGAACACTGGGGAGTAGAGCACTGCATCAAGAAAATGGTTGCATGTCGGTAGTAGTTTTAGCCCCGGGGGAAAGGGGTGTTATGTCCCGAGCTTTGCAAACGGGCTCGGGGAGTTTGCAGGCGGTCCCGGGCAGGTGCAAGCTGCCCGGGACCAGACAGGCTGTTGCCAGCGCCTGTGCGCATGCGCGGGTGCTGGCGCGCGAAAAGTAACACATTGACCCAGGAAAGGCCTATATAAGAGGCCGGGAGTTTTGGGCGTTGCCAGAGCATTTGATCTGTAAGCTAAATGAAGAATAAAGCAAATCTGAGAACTACAACTGCTTCTCGTGTCTTGCCATTTCGTGAGGGACTCAACAGTAACAACTTTTAAATGCCTTCTTTAAGACCATTTCTATAATTCTCTACAATGGAACAGTATCACAAAGAAGAGCAAAGTTCTTTCTAACATCACCATTGATCTTGAAAACTGCAAAAGACTTTGCTTTATATTTTATTTTGGGCTTTTGATGACCCAAATATTATAAGAGACTGACAGAATATTTCTTGTAATTCTCTCTTTTTTTTCAGTTTGAACTTCATCATGCAGAGATGAAGAAAACTGGATGAAAATATGCCATCTTATTATAACAATCATTGTCACAATTTCATCACTAGCTAAAATGAAAAAAATGTGGAATCCTCATGATTCATTCTAGTTGAGGTTTTCAATTTTATGTGAACCTCAAGCTATATTTTATAAGAAAATTGGGATTCATGATTATAAGTTATGCATTGAAGCACTCAGATTGATTGACTTGGAAAAATGTTGAATGGACATAAAGAAAATGAAACAGGCATCACCAGATTCATCCTCTTGGGTTTGGGGAATAATACTGAGTTGTGGCCTTTTCTTTTCTTACTCTTCCTGGTGATTTATCTTGTGACAATAATTGGGAATCTCCTCATCATTGTATTAGTTGCAAATGACCAACAGCTTCACACTCCTATGTACTTTTTTCTGGGAAATCTGTCTTGTCTTGAGACTTTCTATTCCTCAACTATTTTGCCAAAAATGTTGAGCAATTTGTTAACTGGAGACAGAACTATTACTGTGAGTGGATGTCTCTCCCAATATTATTTCTTTGGCTGTTGTGTAGCTATAGAAACATTTCTCCTTGCAGCAATGTCTTATGACCGTTACTTGGCAATATGTAGGCCTCTATTATATGCTTCTGTTATGAACAGAAATCTTTGTTTCCAGCTTATATCTGGGGCATGGCTAAATGGTTTGATGGCTAATAGCATTGTTGTGTTTCTTATAGCTCAGTTTTCTTTTTGTGGACCCAATGTAATAGACCATTATTTTTGTGACTTAAGTCCACTTGAAAAACTGACTTGCAGTGATCCCAGCCTGCTTAAAATTATTGTTTTTCTCTTGACCTTCATTTTTACACTTGCTCCATTTTTTCTGACTGTTAGTTCTTATGTCTGCATCATTGCCAGCATCATAAGAATCCAATCCACCCCTGGAAGGCAAAAAGCCTTTTCAACCTGTTCCTCTCACCTCATGGTTGTATGTCTCTTTTATGGAACAATTATAATTGTCTATATGTTACCAGACACTCCCACTCTGGGACAGCTTAATAAAATCTTCTCCATTTTTTATACAATCCTGACTCCTCTGGCCAATCCACTCATCTATACTTTAAGAAACAAAGAAATTCACAGAGCCTTTAGGCGCATTCATGGCAAACTGAGCACGTTTTTTGGAAGAAGTTGTTTGAAGACATTCTTTCTGCTCTTCTAAGCATTTTAAATATAGTTGCTAAACCAGAAACAGTTATCAGAGGCAAGCAGAGCTCCTTTTTTCCCTCATGATGAATGTGGAGGATGGAACTTATATTGTCCATTTTGTATGTTACTAATACATACTTTGTAGATTCAGGTCAAAGTTGCTTAACACACTGAAGTTTCTTTTCAATTTTGCTATAAATGATAAAAATCATCAGTTGTCTATTTCTGAGATGTAAAATGGATGTATATTGGGAACATCTAAATTGGGCTATGGATTGCTTAGTTCATTTCCAGAAACTCATGCTATTAAGCTTTCCTAAGTCTTTCTAAAGCTTAACTTATCCACTTCTGGGAAACCTTTCCTTACTATGTATCAGCTTTCTTTCCAAACAGCATCAGATCTGCCCTATTTCTGATAGTTTAAACTTCACAGTCTATCAGTTTCTGAACATTTCTTGGCTATAACCTTTCTCTTTATAATGTTGTTTCCAATATGTATTGAGAATATGTATTGGTGTGTTTAATAAAATATTTTCAAAAAGATCAGGTTCTTTAATATTTCAATCTTCTTGTTTTTAAGGTTTAGAAATGTATCTGTTATGATTGATAGCCATATATCTGCACATTTAAGAACAATAATTACTTCTAATATTGTAATACATATTTACTGTATTTTTCATGGTAAATAAGGAAGCAATAGCTGTGAAGAATTTAATTACCGGTAGGTATTTTTTCAATAGCTTTCTACAGTAAATGTTCAAATGAATTTGGACTTTTATAGACTTCAAGATAGGTCCATGCAATTTTTAGTTACATGTTGGAAGTGGATTGCCAGTACCTTCTTCTGGGCACTGTAAGTCAATGATTGAGCCATAACCATCAAGTTGTTGAAGAATAGAACACCTGGTCACTACATTCCTAGGGCAATATCTGTAACCAGTACACTCTTTCTTTAATACTAACCTTTAGTAAGCACAGCCTGTTATTGCAATTTCCTAATATAATTGAGTTAATTAAGGAAGAATCTTCTTTAATAATTTGAGATGCAGTGTTCCAGATTACTCTCTGCCATTTATAGTAAGTTTCAATTCACTGTCTGGCTGATTTATCTTGTGAGCTTTCCAAGCCTCCCCCCAAATTTCACAAACATTGCCACAACTTTTATCATTGTTTTCTCCGAGTTCATTTCCACCTCCTTTATTCTTCAAGGCTCCAACCTTTTCTGTTTTTCAGCAGAATCTCATTTTCTTTCTCCAAAAGCTCACAATCTATTTCCTATGCCAGGGCCTTAAATCTATTTCTGAGCTTCAACACTGAGAATATATTTGATGTCCTTTATTTCTGATTGTCACTTTCAGTTACAGCTTGCTCTTTTTGAGTAAATTATCTTTCCAAAGAAGGATTGCTTATACTGTCAATTCCTGTTGCAATGGCAGTTTAGTCTAATAACTGTCACATCTCACAATGTGGCAGTTTACATTGGAAAGCTCATGATACTTATTTCTGATCATATTTAGGCAAATTTTGATCAGCTAATACATTAAAAGGGAACAAGTGATTCTCAGTGACTCCTAGAATGAATTGTTACTTTGCAAAATTCTAAAATGAGTTTGCAGCATACTAACGATTCATGTTGAGAATTACTTGTTCCCTCTGAATATATCAGCTCAGCTGATCAAAATTTGGAATTTAGCTCTTTTATAATATTTGTTATTTCAATGTGTGAATTTACCTTTCATAATTTAACTCTATCTGCTATATTTTTATATATTCTTAGATTATGTTATATTTTATGAATGTTTTTAATAATAATAATAGTAAAGTTGGAAGGGACCTTGGAGGTCATCTAGTCCAACCCCCTGCTCAGGCAGGAAACCCTACACCATTTCGGACAAATGGCTGTCCAGTCTCTTCTTAAAAACTTCCAGTGTTGGAGCATTTACTGCTTCTGGAGGCAGTTTGTTCCACTGATTAATTGTTCTCACTGTCAGGAAGTTTCTCCTTAGTTCTAGGTTGCTTCTCTCCTTGATTAGTTTCCACCCATTGCTTCTTGTCCTGCCTTCAGGTGCTTTGGAAATTTGTATTTGTATTTCTTATATTAATTTGTAATTTGTATTTCTTACATTAATAGTATCTACCACATAGTCTCTTCTTGGAAAAAATAGGGTAAATCTGATTTAAAAGGGCACCAGATAATATCCCACAATGTAGGATTGCAAGTCTGGAATATCTTGGCCAAATCAACAATGGAATTGCCCAATAAAAGAGCCTTTACAAGGCAAAACTGTTTCAGAAATATGTAATATGTATTGCTAATGGCCAATCTTATCTGGATGTTTTTAGTGCTTTTATTATTTTAAAATGTTTTTAGTATTTTAATTGTTACACACAGAGAAATAGACATAGACACAGAGTTATAAATGCCCAGAATCATTGACTGAGATGCGCAACTATAGAAATTTAAACAAACAAACAAACAAACAAGTAAGTAAATAAATAAATAAATAATCTGTGCCTAGCCTTACCATTCTCTCCATATGTTCTTATGCCTGAAAGTTCTAAGAATATTCCTTTTTCTTTGCTTCTTACTTTTTCCCTATTCATAACACACACACACACACACACACACACACACACACACACACACACATGCCCAACCCCTCCCCCCCGCTAGTGGTATATCTCCATGGTGGTGAACCTATGGCATGCATGCCACGGGTGGCATGCAGAGCTCTCTCTGTGGGCACTCATTCTGTCGCCCCAGTCCAAGGCCTTAAGTTCCGTCCATGAGCAACCTGCATCAAAATCTCCCTGGGCAAGTGGCTTTTTAAGCTGGGTTTTATAAAACCTTTTCGCTTTAGGCCTCCACCTCCACGTGCAAAAAAAAAAAAAAAAAAAAAAGTTCAATCAATCAATCAATTTCAATTTCTTGAGGGAAAAAAAAATCACACAAAATTGGAATTGATTGATTGAACTTTATTTTTAGTCCCACACAGGGGCGGAGAAAGTGATGCTTTGGAGCTGGAAAGAAGGTGCCACATGGGGCAGGAGCTTCATTTGAGGAGTGAGGTGGGCCTGTGCAGGGGGAAGAGAAGCAATGTGGTGATGCTACCATGGTGGTAGACCAGTTTCTTCCCTCCCCCTGCCAGATACCTGCCAAAGCCGCACAGGGTAAGATTGCTGAGCTCGCCCCTGCCCAGATGCCCTCACCTTCCCCAAGCATTTTTTTTTTTTTACTAACCTGCCTTTCAGCTGCATTCCATTTCTCCATTTGCTTTTCAGCCTTCGCCACGTGTTTGTGGGACTATCAGTTAAAAAAAAAGTTCCATGAGATTTTCTAACTTTTCACAAGATCTCAAGAAGTTAGAAAGTCTGATGGAACTTTTTTTTTTACCGATAGTCTCACAAACATGCAGTGAAGGCTGAGAAGTGAATAGAGAAACAGAATGCAGCTGAAAGGCAAATTAGTAAAAAAAAAAAAACACTGGGGGGAGGTGAGGGCAACTGGGCAGGGGCAGGTATGGCAACCTTACCCTGCATGGTGGCAGGAGGGTGGGGCACGTGCCTTTCCCATGCCAGGCCAGCCCCTGCAGCCCCAGAGTGGTTGTGGTAGGTAGGCAAGGGCAAGGCATTGAGATGGGGTCTGGCAAGCTGACCAAAGTAGCAGGTGGAGCACTGGAGGCTCAGGAAGGGAGGGTGCTGAAGTGTGCAAGGAAACAAAGGAAGTTTTTTTGGGGAGGGAAAAAGGTCAATCAATCAATTTCAACTTAGTGATCTTTCATGAGAAGTTGGAATTGATTGATTGACCTTTTTTTCTTCTCCCAAAAATTTCTTTTGTTCTTGCAAGCGGCGGCAGCAGATCACAAAGGAGTAACAGCATGGGGTTGGGAGTCAGGTAAGGAAAGAAAGGCTATTTTTGGAGGAGCGAGGATTTCTTTCCTTACATGCCCTACTTGTTCTGAGGCTGCTTTCCACTCTCAACCGCATTGCTCTTGCCAATGGCCCAACCGCCCATTTCAGCGCCCTTCCTCCCTGAGCCTCCAGTGCTCCACCTGCTGCTTTGGTGGCTCTGTAAGCACAGCTGCAAAGTTCTCTTCTCTGTCAGAGAAGAGAATTTCGCAGCTCTGCCTACAGAACCATCAAAGCTGTAGCTGAATGGGCAGGTGAGGGGGGAACCTGCCCCACTTGTTCCACGGCTGCTTTCAGCTGAGCTGCATTGCAGTGGCATTGGGTGCAATACATGAGGCGGCAATGCTGAAACTAGCTGCGCCATGCTGAAACTAGCCATTTGCCACCTCCTGTGCAATGCCTCTACCATGAGGCTGTGGAACAAGCCCGGGAGCAGTAAGAAACTGGTATACCAGTTCCTTACCTCCGCCTGGCTTGTTCCGTGGCCTCATGGCAGTGGAATTGGGTGCAACGTGTGAGGTGGCAAATGGCCACGGCTAGCAGCAAACAGCCATGTTGTGCTGAAACCGGCTATTTGCCACCTCGTGCATTGCGCGAGGTGGCAAATAGCCATGCATTGTGCCCAATGCGCCATAAAGCCGCGGAACAAGCCTGATTCCGCGGCAGAGGTAAGGAATCAGTATACCAGATCCTCCCCTCTCCTACTCCACCTGCTACTGGAGGGCTGGACTGGTATTCGCAGCAGGCTGCAGAGCCTCAGAGTGTGCCAGTCGAGAGGTTGGCAGGCTATGGCTGCTGATAGATACAGTTGGCCCCGTGCACTCACTGTGTGCAGGGGCCAATGGTGTCAGGCAGCTGCCATACTGGTCCCTGCCTTGCCTTGCCTTGCCCTAAGGAAATGGCACCCCTGCCCTGCCCATTGTCTGGTCTCAACTCACCCTGCAGGATGAGCCTCCTGCCCACCATCCCACCCATCAGAGACCCCCTGGATTTGCCCCAACCCTGCCTAGCCCCCAGAGGCATCTCTCCCCACGAACAACATCGAGGTGGCCATGCCCACCCCAGCCATACCCACCCAGTCTGCCATGACCACTGCAGCCACGCCTACCCAGTGGTCACACCCACCTACTGGGCCATAACCCAATGATAAATAAGTGGGATTTGGGTTGCAGTTTGGGTACTCAGTCTCTAAAAGGTTCGCCATAATTGGTCTGACCTATTATTTTAGATACTAGAATAAAATTTAAGGTAAAATAAGGTAAAGGATCTGACATATATCAAGTAAGGATCCCTTGAGCAAATTAGCTCTTTATAGCAACAAAACCCCATTTTCAATGTATTTTACCTCTTTGGTTATATTTTCTAACAGTTTTAAAGAGGGCTTCCTTCACTTCTCTGTTTCTCAAACTGTAGATGATGGGGTTGAGCACTGGAGTCAGGACAGTGTAAAACAGAGAAAAGATCTTATGTAGCTCCTTCAGTCTTTCTGTTCCAGGGACAGCATAGACAAGCAATAGTGAAATAAAGAAAAATGAAACTACCGTGAGATGAGAAGAACAGGTAGAAAAGGCCTTTTGTTGTGCTTTTTTAGATTTCATTTGCAGCACAGTATAAAGTATATAGATGTAGGAGGTCATTGTTAAAAGAAATGTGGTCCCTATACCCATGAATCCTATAATAAATGTAGCAAGTTTCACTAGGTGTGTATTGCTACAGGAAAGATTTGCCACTGGATACACATCACAAAAGAAATGGTCAATTTCACAGGGTCCACAAAAAGTTAATTGTAACAGAAAAACAGTTACGATAGTGTTGGTCAACAAACCACTTATCCAAGATATGAGGGCTAACTGGAGACAGAGTTTGCCATTCATGTGGGATGCATAATGCAGAGGTTTACAGATTGCTAAATATCGATCATAAGACATCATTGCCAGAAGATAACATTCAGTGGATGCTAAAAATCCAAAGAAGTAGTATTGTGTCATACATCCATAGATAGATATAGATTTATCCCCAGTTACAAAACTAGCCAGCATTCTGGGCAGGATGGTTGAAATATAACATGTCTCCAAACAAGACAAATTAACAAGGAAGAAGTACATGGGGGTATGAAGATGATAGTCAAATACAACAAGTAGAACAATAAGTAGGTTCCCCACAATAGACAAACTGTATATAATAAAAAACAGTGTAAAGAGGAGTATTCCCATTTGGGGAATATTGCTGAATCCCAAAAGAATGAATGTTGTTACACTTGATTGATTGATTTCCATTCTTTCCTATTAATGATTATCAAGGTGGTTCTGAAAAAAAATCTGAAGAACGTTAGTAGTCTTATTTCCCACCCCCTTTTTTTCTTCCCTCTGATAATTAAGGCAAATGTTGACATACATTCAGAGAACTGCTGGTTGGCATACCTAGACGAAAGAAAGAACAGAAATATGTTGCATTTCTTAACATACTAACCACATCATAATAGAAAATGTTATATATTAATATTCCAATAATGTTCAGTGCTCTCCTAGCATGTGTGTCTGGAGGAAGATATCAATTTTAGTAGAAATTAACAAAAAAAATCATGCCAAAATGAGCACTTGTAGCTATCATTCTTTACACATGATATGTATCCCCAGAAAAATTAAATCTAGAAAAGAACACATATTTGGGATAGTTGCATCTACTGTATCTATCATACTTTTAAACTATACTTGGGTACAATTAAAAAATAAAATTTCATTTAAAAATAACATGTTTGCAAACTTTAATGAAAGTTCTATGTATTAAAAATAGATGAAATTAAAATGGGATTTCTTGCTGTTTGAAATATTAGAGAGGATCATATTTGAATTGTTTGAATACGATTAAGAATTGTTCCTATATTCCTGCTTTCAAGAAATGCCAATTGCGAATTTCTAAAATATAATTTTAGAGCTAAAGCATGTGGATTATATGAATGATTGAATATTTCAAGGATATTACCTTTGACAAATTTTAGTCACATGACTTCAAAGATTTTAACCACAATAAACTGTTTGTAATATTTCCCAATACTTGCTCACAATTGAAAATGGAAGGCTAAGAAAAACAACAACAACAACACAAAAAAAAACCTTATGTAACCAAAATTTGGCTGAGCCAATGTGATGTTCTACTTCAGTTTAAAAATGCAAATTGTAGGAGCATTTAAAATCCAGGGTATTAAAAAAAATAAACTTTTCCCCATGTTTTTCTGAGGTGCCACAAATTTTACTTTTGTCTTTCCTATTCATTTTTGCTTGTCAGGAGGGTTGGAATAATTTCTTGGCCAGCTCCTCACCACAAAGGATCACATGAACAGTGACTTTGGAAGGAGAGTAGTAGGTTGGACAGGTATTGTGTCTACGTTTAGCCACAAGGCAGGACTTGACAAACTGGTTTTCCCCCCATTGTGTTCTATGTCTTTGCTGTCTCTGACCCTGATTTTTCAAGGGAATTGTCAGACTGGTAAGGTTATCTGTACCTTCAGTCATGACAGAATCTGGGTGCATCAGAATGGTAGTTGGCAGGCAATATAATGCTGAAATACCAAAAGCAGAAGGCACAGACACAATATGCCTCAAAACTCATTGTAATGTGGAATAGTTTGAACTTGTTCTAGTCATTTGGGATGCAAAAGAAATACCTGGCCCAAATATGTTTAGAAGGTTGGAATTGTCAGCCTAATTCCTGTATTCAGATGTTGACACAGAGGTGATCTCTCACATGTGTTCACAAGACCCATGCAGAAATATATTATTCTATTAGCAAAAGATAGAACAACACGGAAATCTGAGGCTGGCCATGGTGAAAAAAAAAATGCAAAAGTAAATGAGCTTCAAAGTGAAGGTTAGTTTTACCACCCCAATAACATTTGAGTAGACAGAAAGTAGCTGGCTACTTTATGTCTCTATCATAAAGCCTATCATACCGCTTAACTGCTACCATGTGTGGGATATAAATTTCAAGACTATAAAAAAATTTAAACTCACATTAGTTTTTAGGTTTCCTTGTTTGCAGATGAATAGAGAGAACTAAAATGTGCTTACCTCTTCAAAAGTAATAGCTCTATCATGTGTCTTCTTAGACAAAGAACCGAAATTCTTAGAATTTATATTTGAAATAAAAAATCTAGGCAGTGCTGCTGATTTTTTTCAAATGAAATATCCAGAAAGTTCATGTTATAATTCTACATTACCTTGCATTTTCAGATTTCAGGAAATAGAATTTTCATGATCAAGGTTCTTTCTTCAACATTTCTGTAACATTTCTTAGCTGAAAATATGAATACAAACTTGAGGATGTCTTGCCAAACACAGCTAAAGTTTGTCTGTTTTTCATGAACAGCTAGCCTGACCCCCCCTTTAAAGGACACAATCCTTTAAAAATGTTAATCATTTTTAAAAGATACACGTATTGCATTAGCAGACATTTCTTAACAACTATTAGGACAAAAAAAATGAAATTATATGTCTGAGTGGGAAGTAGTGGACCTCTGCCAATTAACACACACATCATGAATGCCTTCTATTTTGAACAAGAATGTTTTATATAAATAGAAAATTAATATCCACATAATATATATTACATAAAATTATAATCTAAACTATCTTTTAGGTTCCATAAGTATGTATTTTCTGAAAAAGGTGTTTTGATAATTTAAACCTTAATTCATTTTAAAATGACTCTTTGACATTGCTGATCTTTGGACTATTTCTTATATTTACCACACCTGCAGTATTTTTATTTTACCAACAATATGGATAAATTCACCAAACAGTGTTATTTTTACTTTGAAAACCTATTTCTGAAGTAATATTTTTTTTGCTCCAGGATTATAAAGATTTGAAAATATCTCCAAAGCCTACTATTTTGTTCCTAAAACTTGCAACTGATTTTCAGTAATTGATTCTCTCACTTCCATAGCTCTGATTCATTCAAAAAGAATCCATCAGATTTATGTAGTCTCTATCTCATTTTCCAGTAACTAGTCCCCATAGTCAACTAAACTAATGGTAATAAAAATTTTGATGAATAAACATAATATTCCTTTCTGAGTACCAAACATAAATTGAAAATCTGAATGATATATGCATAAATACTTATCTTAAAAGTAATAATGATCTTAGGCAACATCTCTTTAATTATTTTCCATGGAATACCTATTTCTTTTCTCTATCTTCCCCATGCTTAAAAGTATTGTGGCATGCATAATCTTCTTTGATTATGCAGTTCTTTAGCAAGAAACAATCTACAAGGTTTATGTGTACTCCAAAATATATACGAAGATGTCTTTACCCTTATATATTCAAAATGGTTTGAATCTATATTAATAAATTCATCTGTGTTTCCTTTATTGGTAACAAGAAAAATAATTACTAAGAAAAATATAATTTTTTCATACTAGGGCCAGTCAAGGAAAGAAATGAGGGTGGATAGGAAGAAGCTGTAACCTTTGGGATTATATTATGATTGTAGATGTCAACTTCTGGACTTTTTAAAGGTGTTATTAACAATAATCTCAGCCTGCTTTCCCCCCTAAAATTAATACTAGCAATAAAGCAGACGAAGTAAAACTTTTTTCGAGGATATATTTAGAAAACTGTATTTAAAATTATAAAAAAATATAAGTTTTGACAAGGGACAGTGAATTATATTTTTCCAGAAACTTGTCAATTATGAATGTTCATTTTTAATAGAATAATAAAAGAATGTATCAATGGATGTCTTAGTCATTTATTTATTTATTTATTTATGAGACTTATATACCACTTTAAGTGCAAGCACTCTCTAAGCGGTGTACACCAGTAAGCAATGTATATATATATTTACATTGCCCCCAACAATCTGGGTCCTCATTTTACCTACCCCGGAAGGATGGAAGGCTGAGTCAACCTTGAGCCGGGGAGATTTGAACCACTGACCTCCTCATGTTAAATTTATATTGCTAATCAAGATGTAGAACTTTTTTAAAAAATGACAAAATGAATGCTGGACAGATAGAAACTTAATGTATGTGCCTTTAATAGTATCACTAATATCTGAATGAACCATTTTTTAACCTTGCCCTATATTCACTAAATAAACTTCCCTTGAACATTTCATAGATGGAAAAATACTATATACCACTCATGAAAACTTCATAGTAATGCTCTTTTTTTTGAAACCACTCTTGTACAGTAATTATTAAGGATAAAAACAAAACATCATCTTTGTGAAATTAGGAGCAATGACAAACACCAGTCCCTTATCAAATATACTAGGTATTTATTTTGTATGAATTGAACTTATTTCTTCATAGAAAATTGTCCTATAAATAAATCAAGGCAGTAAACATACCTCATACTCTTTTCTCCTCCTATTTTCTCCACATCGACCCTATGAAATGGGTTGGACTGAGAAAGAGTGACTAGCCCAAAGTCACCCATCCCATCCCAAAGGCAGGACCACAGTTTCCAGGTTTCTAGTCTGAACCCTTAAGGACTACACTAAATTTCAATGCATTCTTTAGCACTATACTTTGAAAGTTCCTTAAGACTTCTACCATGCCATCACCAGATTAGAGTTATACTGCATCTCATTTCATGCCCAGGCAAGATACACACACACACACACACACGCATGCACACATATACACATACATACATACACACATACAGCGTGGACTATAAAGTAGAAGCCCTACCTGCTTTGAGCATAGAAAAGAAGATCTTTGTAAAACTTAAGCAAAGTATATGAAAGTTAGACATTTAAGTAGGCACAGCTAAACTTTCCCATCTCCCTTAACAGATGAAATGCTCTCTCCCCTTGGATGCTCTTCAATTACTTTTATAAAATTCTGTACGTCCCACATAGAATAATCTTCTCCCTATATCATATAATGTATTTCCTACTAAGGTGTTGATCGATATTCCAAACTCCTATATGAAGATCGAGTATATTTGCTCAAACATAGAGTTGAGTCCAATTCATACATCCTTCTAAAGTGTGCACTGTATTCTCATGACAATCAGAGCTAATGCACCCCCCTCTTGGGTCTGATAGACTTCATTTATGAAGAGTAAATTGAGGTATTTAATTGGGAAAATGGGGGCATTCCCACAGGAGATTGGTTGGCAAGTTGAAAACACTTCTGGATCTGTCAGTGGGGTTGTAGAGTTGAAGTGATTCCCCCCCCCCAGGTCAGTCATATTGTAGAAGAAACTGCTTAAAACTATTCAGCAAATGTAGCTTGATTTGATATATGAGAATGATTGCACTATAGAGCAGGTATTATGATTCTTAGAATAACATCTGCTGTCTAGAAGTTCTTCCAGAGCTTTTCAAAACCAATTTCAAAAAATTATTTCAGGGGCAGGCAAAGTTAGTGGGTGGAACAGTGCAACCACTCCTACAAAGGACTGGACCTAGCATGAAAAATACTCATTGACCCAGTCATGGTAGAGGAAAAAATATCTACAATGATTGAATACATCCAGTGACAAATTTCTGATAACAATAACAATAACAGAGTCGGAAGGGACCTTGGAGATCTTCTTGTCCAACCCCATGCTCAAGCAGGAAACCCTATACTATTTCAGACAAATGGTTGTCCAGTCTCTTCTTAAAAACTTCCAGTGTTGGAGCATTCACAATTTCTGGAGGCAGGTTGTTCCACTGATTAATTGTTCTGTCAGGAAATTTCTCCTTAGTTCTAGTTTTCTCCTCTCCTTGATTAGTTTCCATCCATTGCTTCAGGTGCTTTGGAGAATAGCTTGACTCCCTCTTCTTTTTAAATACACACACACACACACACACACACACACACAAACACATATATTTTTTAACATAAACACCTTGATATTTGTTAAACAGCATTGTCAGACCCAGCGTGCAACCTACCTGTCTGTAGTACTACACTGCTTAAGAGGACAAATGCATGCACCGCCAGGCAGCCTCGGTGACGCTGCAAGCTGCGCCGCCGGTGCCATCCTCGGAGGGTTGCTGACGCCCCTAAACTGACGAGCCTCAAACCACGTGACCAGCTAACGTGGAGAGCGTGGCGTGGCGCGGAGAGAACCGTATCGGGCTAGTGCATGGAAAGACATTGAAGGCAGCGAAAGACGCTTAAACTGGGAAGCCGGGATGCTGGGTCTGACAGAGTTTGGGGAATGGGGATGCTGGGAGGAATGGGGTGTGGTGTGGGTGGAGTTATACATGGTGATCGGGGTAATTGGGGTGTGTCTTGTGGGTGTGGTGATGGGATGTATTTAGGACGCTGGGACGGGAGTCCTCCCAGGGCTGACTTTATTTTCAACATAGCGAAATAAAACCTTTGTTGGATACTGCAACGTGCCTAGTGTTTTGGTTCCCTTGACCACAATTAGGACGTTCTTACATTAAGTCAGCCCTCCTTCACTCACTCCCAACACCCGACGCTGGCCGAGAACGGGGCGCCATGGTGGAGGGAACGCAGGGAGAGGAGCCGGTAATGGTTGAGGAGTCTGTGGAGTCCGACGAGCAGCTGGAGAACCTGGCCGTCGGCGACACGGGGGAGGAGCAACCGGCGGTTCGGCCGAAGGAGAGGGTGCGCGTTCCTGTGACCGCAGAGCCAGGGATTAGGCAGCAACGCCCGGTGGATACAGAGGGCGAGTGGTGGCTCAGCCCGGCGCTGGGGCTTCCAGAGGATGGCCGGGGACGACGGTTGGCGCTGAGTTTTACCGGTTGGAGGGAACGCCGAGTGACCGGGGACCACGAGGAGGAATGGAGTTGTTCCACGGCCCCGGGACAGTATATATTGGATGTCCTCAGAGAACAGTTTGGGGAACGTATCTACCCCGCTACTATCCGCAGCCCTGCCAAGGACAGTCCGTCTTACACTTCCCATTTCCAATTATCCAGCCCAGAGCTTAAATTACAACCAGGCGGCCGCTTTACGCTCCGGGACCCGGTGGCAAGGCAGGTTGGAACGGAGCGTCCCCGGTATGGGATGGGCGTTCGGGGAACAGGGGACCGGCCGGCAGACCCTGATGGGACGGGGGCGGGACCTATGGGAGCAGGAGCAGGGGCTCACCCTAGGCCACATCCGGAAGCCGTCCCATATGGAGGACAGGTGCCAGCTCCCTGGCCCCAGAATATGGTATGGAATCCTCCCCCGATAACGCTCACATTCGACAGGGATCCAGATCGCTTGGCAGTATTCCTTAGTCATGTACTCAACCATCTGGACTGCTATACCACCCTGTACTTGTCCAATTGGGCAATGGTGGTCGCGGTAACATCAAGTTTGCAGGGAGAGGCCGCTGCTTGGGCCACTGACCTATATAGCGACCAAGCGAGGGAGCTAGCTGATGTGGGACTCTTCCTTGATGCATTAAAAACGAGATTCGAAGACCCAACCCGCTTACAATGGGCGGAGGCCCAACTGGTGGGCCTGCGGCAAAGAGGTAGGCCGGCAAAGGAATACATCCGCGAATTCCAAAAAGTAGCAGGGAGACTGAGGTCGTGGCCGGATCGTCTGCTGATCCACCATTTTCGCACCGATCTGGATACCGACATACGTCGAGCATGTATAGTCAGGGGAGTAGGGGAGCGCCTGGCTGATTGGTTTAGGGCTGCCGTGGAGCTGGATATTGGGCTGCAAGAGCATCCCGGTGGACGTGAGGATAGACCACCACCCTGTCGGACTCAGGACCAGCCCACGGGCGGTACCACTCAGACCGTACCAAGTACTGTACGCCCGAAATCGGTCTTCAAATGCTTCCGCTGCAACCGACCGGGCCACTGGGTGGCGGAGTGTGGAATACCAGTGCCAACAGGCACGCCAACGGCGATTGGTAGACCAGGCGCCACGCCGCAGAAAACAGCGGAAAAGTCGCGGGTGGCCTACCAAATGGGACAGGCGTCAATCCAGCAATCCCCCGACGATACATCCCCTATGTTGCAGGAATACGAGGAGGAAGGTTCAGTGGAAGATCCAATGGTGAGTGAACCCATCATCCCGTTCACCATCCCGGTAACACTTACAAGCCCGGTTACCGGTGAATTGATGCCTTTTCAGGCGTTGATTGATACTGGGTGCACCCGGTGTTTAATCAGTAAGGGGGTAGTGCAACAGATGCGGATTAGAGTGACCAAACTAAAGTCCCCAATCCGCTTCGAGCAGGTGGATGGCTCTTTGTTAGGGGGGGGCCCAACCATGTTGGTGACAGAGCCTGTCAGAATGGATGTAGGTGGCCATTGGGAGGTTATCAGATTCATAGTGGTCCCCTCTATGTCCGAGCCTCTCATCCTTGGATTAGCTTGGTTAGATAAGTGGACACCAACCATCTGGTGGGCGGACGGGTCCCGGCGTCTAAGACTGGCAGTGGGTCCCCAACCGCTGCCCTCATATGACCATAGTGAGGAGAGAGGGGTGGACGCCATAAAACCATTACAGGAGAGGAGCAAGCTTGAATACCCGCCAGTTTACAATGACCTTGCGGCAGTATTTAGCGAACAGGAGTGCGAACAGCTTGCCACCTCATAGGCCGACAGATTGCGCAATCGAACTTATTCCCGGAGCCAGATTGCCTAAACCCAGGATGTACCCGATGACATTCGCAGAATTACAGGAAATGAGGAAGTACATAGATAAGAACCTGGCTAGGGGTTTTATAGAGCCGGCGCGCTCTAGGATAGCGGCACCTGTAATATTCCAGGGGAAAAAGGACGGGGGGTTACGGTTATGTGTGGACTTCAGGGGTCTTAACGCTGTATGCATAGAACCTGTTTATCCCCTGCCCCTCATGAAAGACCTCCTTACTCATCTGGCTACCGGAAAGATTTTTACAAAATTAGACCTCCGTGAGGCATATTACAGAATACGAATTAAGGAAGGAGACGAGTGGAAAACCACGTTTAACTGTCCACTAGGGAGTTATCAATTCAAAGTAATGCCTTTCGGGTTACAAGGGGCCCCAGCTGTATTTATGCAGCTAATCAACGAAGTGCTGCATGACCATCTATATAGGGGCGTGCTTGTGTACTTGGATGACATACTCATCTACTCGCAAACACTGGAAGACCACATACGATTAGTACGGACGGTGTTGAGAAAGTTGCTGGAGGCTAAACTATACTGTAAACTATCAAAGTGCGAGTTCCACAAAGACCGCATCGGCTATTTAGGGTTCAGAGTCTCAGCGATGGGGATAGAGATGGATCCTAGTAAGGTACGCAGTGTATTGGAGTGGCAAGCCCCGAGGAATCGTTGCCAGCTACAGCGGTTCTTGGGGTTTGCTAATTTCTACCGCCAATTTATACCTTCTTTCGCTGATGTGGCCCTACCATTGACCCAGTTATTACGCACCAAGCACACCGCCGGAAAACCCCGCCCAAAACAACCGTTGGATTGGACTGTGGCTTGTCAACAGGCCTTTGAAGCCTAAAGAGATTATTTGCGCAGGAGCCGGTGTTGGTACATCCTGACCCGGATCGGCCATTTATTGTCCAGGCCGATGCCAGTGATGTAGCCGTTGGAGCAATTTTATTGCAACGTAATGAGCGAGGCGATTTACGACCATGCGCTTATACCTCCAAAAAATTCACCGACACAGAACGATGTTGGGCGGTGTGGGAAAAGGAGGCGTTTGCCGTGAAATGGGCATTGTCCACCTGGCGCCATTTGTTGGAGGGTGCACAGCACTCCTTCGAGGTCTGGACGGACCACCAGAACCTAGCGGTTCTCCAAACACCAAGGAAACTGGCGCCTAAACACGTCCGATGGGCGCAATATTTTCAACGTTTCAGGTTCCGTCTGAAAGTTGTCCCGGGAGGAAAGAATTTCCTAGCAGACGCACTTTCCCGAATGCCACAATACGACAGCAAGAGGGAACAAGTGGTCCAGGCCATTATACCTCCATGTAATAGGGATTCCGCACAGGTGGATGCATGCGCAAAACTGATAGCATTTGAAGAGGAAATAAAATCAGCATTGTTGACTGATCCTTGGCTATTAGCGAATCCCGGAATGTTGACCCGTCGTAATGGTTTGG